GGAAAATGACAAAGAATATTGATCAAGGGAAGGGAAATAAGTTGGAGCATACTGAATCGTGCGAACCGCATGTTTCCCATAAAAACCATTTCGTTTGTTCTGTATGGTTTCACTGAAAAGAAAAAAATACGCAAAAAAAAACTCACTCAAACGAATGGAGTCGTCTCGCTTGCGCGGTTTGTGCGGATTTCAGAGCTTCATGGCTTAATGAACGAGGGGACGCTGCCTTCCTTGCGTCCAGTAATTGAATACGAAGTTTCTGTGAGACCAACGTGAATATTCAATTGAGCCATAGGTTCATTTTTTAGTTAAATAATAACCAGCGAAGGGTCAAGGGAATAATATTTCGAACATATTTAGTGATATTTTACCTATCGGGGGCAAACGTTTGTTGTCAGGTCCGTGTATATTATGGAAAAAAAAGAAACCCAAACAGCATAATAGAAACGGGTAGAAAGGAAATCCTTTCTCAGCGTTCATACAAGTCGATGGACCTAACCAAGATTAAATATTCCTTCAATTGTACATGTTCAGCAAGTTATGTAGGACGAACGACAGTTCTCATATAGGATCAGAGAACATGAACCGGCTTAGCTTAGCATGGGTTTTCAGGAAACAATAACGACTGCGATTGTGGCCCACCTCACCGATACTGAGACAGACAAGGATGCATTTAAAGCATTTACGAAGTGCCGCGAAACAAGTTGAAGTAAGTTCGGCAACGACAGAGGCTGCAGCAATCAAAACGAGGAGCCCGCTACTGTGCAAACAGAAGAAAGTGGTTGCTACACTCCAGCTGCCTTGACTCCGATCAAGTCTACGTGACGATCCGAATCATAACCTCAGTCATGTCATGATGACGTAACATGGCATGACAAGTTACACTTCAAAAAGGTCATCGAAAATTTCCAGAATCGACCTTGGTCCACCCCGTTGGCCCCCTCCCCTCATTTTCTCCACTCTCTCCGATTAAATTTGACAGATATTGTTATATCTTGACATTTACCCTCAACGAACAATTCACATTTATTTCTACATTATACATAAACACATAACTGTAAATTCCTGAAGATAAAGAACAAGGTTGTTTACTGTATTGTTTGTCTTTGTTTTTCTTTCAACCCAAATTCCACTCATATATGGACCATCCTCAGTTCTATCAACTTGCTGCCGTGGTATAACACAAACCTTGAGATGGTAGGTAACATCGAGCAGGAATAGCTTTCTAAGTCCAGTCGTAATGCCTAGTAACGGGCATCAACCACACTGGTGTGATTATCTATATCTGATCGGTTCCTGTCATTTTGAATTTTCGCCTTGCTGGTCTGTTGCACACCTCCGCCAACGGATGATTCACCGTCACCGTCCCGTGAGTTTTTTGTCACCCCATAAATCCTCTTCGCCGCCCCAATTGCATATTATTTCACACCCCTCCCCTTTCTTTAGAGGTTGTCATCATCACCGTTCTTTTAGCTTTCCAATGGCTCGAGTTAGCGTGAGCATGTCGCACTGATGTTCATTCGGACTATCGGCGGGTACCCGTAACAAGTTAGCGCAAAAACATTGTCTACTGATCACAGCCTGGGCGTTTTATATAATAATTGAACAACAGTTAATTTGTTTAAACGTGATTAATGTGCATCAGCGACCGGCATACAGGACGACGTGTGAGGAGAGGGGCCAAGCTCCATAATCACTCTCACGTATAAAGATTGAGATGCTCAGATGAGGTGAAAGCTGCGTTTGCAGTGTCATTCAGTGTTCCACTGATCAATTAAGATGCTGCTAGGTGTAAACTGCAGGCAATGAATGAAGTTGTTCACTCCGATAACTTTTGACCTCCAGGTTGGTCTCCATAGATCTAGGGTCAAACTGGCATGAACGTAACGATGACTTTCATGATCACCAGTTATAGCACGTCCCTCATGGACGGCCTACGGAATAGTGCCATCGATATGAGTGTAACAGCGCGACCAGATCAGGAGGCTGTCTCGTTTTATTCACTCTGTCCAAGCACATATGTACTCCATTCACGGACTGCCAGCTTGCTCCAGGAAATAGAACCAAATGACCGAACGTGAAGTTCCTAAATATAAAATTTTGTCCACATGCCTGTAGGCTGCACTTGTGGGTCTGTTACACACTTCAAGCTTAGGACAGGATCGACGTGAAGGTGCGCGTTGTATTCATTAGAACTATAGTAATACTCTCGGAAGTAGATCCTTTACTCAGACAACCTGGGAACACCTTAATTCACGAACAAAACAAGTCTGTCACTAGCCGACCGTCATCAGTAGGCAACCAATCAGGGGCAAGCAGACAAGTGATGCAGCTTGATAGGTCAATGTGATCAATGTCTCGTCTGAGAAACGTCTGAGGCATGTGAGCATATAGGTTTGCGTGTCAGTATGTGTACAGGCGCATGTCCACGTGTGCGTGTGTGTAAATCGGATTTGATATTGTGCCTTCAATAGGAGCAATGTATACAAGGCGGGGGTCGGACTGTGGCAGTTTAATACTGTCTGCAAAAAAACGCGCAAACGATAGTGAAACTAAATTTCCAGAAACACACAAATCTGTAGTTTTCGATGCCGAGGTAGGTTCAAGTTGCTTGGTTTCAGATGTGCGAAACCTGTTTACGAAGTTATGTTCCGATTCTAACCATAAGCTCCGCTCACTAGACTGTAGAATACCAAAATGATATAAGATGAATTTAGGAAACACTGAATATTTACAATTTTGAATCGATAAACTTGTTTTCAGAGGTATAAACCTATGCAAAAGGCTACAAAGCGATTGTTACAGGGGGATACGAGTCATCTGTGTCAAGGGAACACTTCCGGCCTGTTTAAGGATCCTATTGAAACGGGGATGAAAGGTGAAGTTGCCGTTGCGGGCACCACTACTCTATCGTTCTACATAGTTTTCGTAAGCACTGAGGAACTAAAGCAATTGATACCGTGCAGATGCAGGAGTCGAAAAATGTCACTTGCATAATTCAACGGATATACATAGACAGTTAAAGGCTAGACATTCGCAAGCGTTCACCTCAAATTTCGACCATGATGGATAGTTCGAAATCAACGGTACTCACATTCCATGCATCCAGAGTTTTCAACAGTTGGAGCAGTTCGTCAGGTTGTATCAAATCATCGCGAACTGTAATGAAGTCAGACGATACAATCAGTCACACAGCCGGACGCAACAATATGAAAGCAAATAATGGACCCAGACATATCATAGCCCATCTACTCCGAAATTACACACTACTAATTAAGCTATTCTATTTCATTCGAGTTCAAATGAAACAATACGAGTATGATGCACACAATCGCGTCCATTCGCAACAAGAGTGTTCATCCCCCCATATCCAATCTGTCTTCCAGTACAAACTAAGTATACTTTGAAATTCTTAGACCACCGATTAGCTTACAAGAGACTATTTTGTGCTTCAAAGCTGACGAATTACTCCATATTATATATTTTGTACCTATACATTTTTCATGTTCCATGTTTGGTCTGCATTTCTCCATTTCTCTCATGTGACTAGTCAGGTTGTAAAAGTTTCCAATCGAGTCATATCTCTAGAGGCTAGTGCTGAGAAAAGTGAGCCGCGATGCCCGCAACAAGCTCGCAAAGATGGGTGAATGGAAAATGAGAAAAAACGGTCTGATCAGCTGCTCGGTGCACCAGTGAGAAGTAAGCCTCCGCTCTGCCTGTGAGGTCCTGGGTTTGATCCTCAACTGACTGGACGGATTCACACTGCTGATGAGGACCACCCGCGTACAGTGCTTCCTACCTTTTAAGTTTTGGCTTAACTTACTCTATATAATACAAATTCCCCCTATGAAATATAATAAAATCCTACATTACTCTCATGCAAAACAACATACGTTAGCTCGTACCAGTACACTCGTTGTCAACGTAGCTCAATACACGTAGGTTGCAACTGTCCATCTTCTATTTTATCTCGGTCGTTGCATGACTGCGCGGGAAATACGGGATACTTTAGAAAAGTCGTTCAGTTTACAGTTGTGTTTGGTGCACTTCAAGCAAATTAAAGCCACGAAATTTTTCGAAAACTGAAACCAATACTCTAAAATGGATTGTTGCCTCATCAGTGTTGTTAATGCTAAATTGAACATTCTTACGCCGGAAACAAATTCAGCTGCATGAAATTCCGACTGTGCTTGTGTTAAATTCTGTTGACACAGTGGTAACATGCGATGGGTGTAGAGTTCAACGTCCGGACGGGGG